CTCAAGATTTTATCTAAAAAATCATGCAAACTCTTTTGCAAAAATTTCTGCTATTTTTTCTGCAAAAAATTTTTTTTTTGGGGGGGGGGGGGTTTCTGGCTCTATAGGACGCCCAAACTTGCAGATCTTTATTACTAATCATTATTATTAATTAATTTACACAAATTTAACTCCTATTTCATCTATTTTTATTTTAAATTTTAATATTACTATTTTAGTCTTAGATTCGTATACATCTTTTATAATACTAGACCAATGTCACCCTAGGTTACACAAGCCACACCAGCTATACCAGCCACAATATCTTTATCTTGTAGTTACACAAGGTTACACAAGGTTACACCAACTTGCTGCATTAGCTGCAAAACAATTCAACCACTGTTTTTACTTTAACCCCTAAAAACAACTTTGTTATTTTTACAAAATACTAAAGTTTTTTAGCAAAACTCACCTATTTTACCTTCAAAATGCCTACTTTAACTAATCAAGAACCAGACCATTTTGACCTGGACTATTTCCACAATAAATACAGTGACCGGTATGGCATGATGATCTGTGACGCACACCTAGCCAATTAAAAGTTATGCTTTTTGCTTTTAATTCTAGCGAATGCAGTACTCTAAAAACCTTACATTTTTTTCAAAAACCTGAAAAGCCAGCTATTATTCGCTGTTTTTGTCAAAAATACCACACCTTCTTTACCTCAAGCTACCTCAATATCCCACCTAAACAATCTACACCTCCACCCTCTCAACAATCTCAATCAATAGATATTGACTTAACTTCTAGACAAGTTAAGCAACTTAAAGATAACATTTCACAATTCCTTGTTAAATCTGTCCCTACTCTTCCATTTCCACTCAACTACTCTGTTATTACACCATCTGCTAGTTTATCACAATCTCTCCAAATACAAGCTTACTCTCACTATGCATATACATGCATTATCTGTAAACTTAAAAATATTCCTTGTGCTTTTTTACAAGACAACAAACATACTCTACTTAGCAAAGCCACTATTGTCTTAAGAGGATACCCAGCACATGTTGCATGTATTCATAAGCTCAAACTTCAACCAATCTCACAAACCCACCCACTCTCATCTAAAGCATATAGTGCTTTTTATACAATCAAATTTGCCCTTATAACAAAATCAGAAAAAAGCCAAGTTTTTAAAAACTTTTTACAACTTTTAAAAGAAAAACAAAATACTAAACACTTCAAGTGCGATACATCTAATAACCTTGACTGGTTCAAAACTTATCTTATTACTTCTACTATAGAATCTTTCTCTAAATTTAATATACAACTCTCTCAACAAATCTTTAACTTTGTCAAACCATTTCTTGTTGACTTCGCTCCTAAACAAATTAATAAAAAAGTTAACAAACCAAATATCAAATATAGTTTTGACTATTTGCTTAAACAAATGGCAGGACAATGTCCTCAATTTCTTACTGAATTAATTTATCAACAACACTCAACAATTGACAAAGAAATTACTATTCCTTATGAAATAGTATACATCTCTCTTAAAAATATTTTATCCAAATTCACTTACATTCTTTTTACTAAACTTAACTATGCGAAAATATTTGCTTTATACAACTCTATTTCTCCTTACTCTATCTCTAACCGCTATAATATAGTACTTAACTTCACTCGACTCTACTTATTTCTTAACGAAAAATATAAAACTATCAACAGAACTAAATTTATTCAAGATTTAAACATACATCCTATTTGTTTTAATCTTTATTACTTCACATCTATTAATATTAAAAACCAACCTCTCTTTAAAATTCAAAATGATAACAAGTTCAATATCAATATTTCTATTAATATACCTAAAATACAATTTCTTAATGACTTCTGTATCCCTTCTCTTAAACCTTACAAAACTAACTTCGATACTTGGTTTGAACACTTCTTTAAAATCTATCAATGACAATTTTAAAAATAGATGAAAAAAAAATCTATAATTTTCTAAGACATCAAATTGCTACTAAACTTTCAGAAATATGCAAAAGTTTTCTTTCAAAAACCTTTGCTATTACCTCAATTTCCTCATACAAAGAGCGCACTATGCTTTGCACTAAAGCAGCACTCTATCATATATACACATGTACTCATAGTGATAATAACCCATGCCAAACCCTACCAGACAATACAGAACATAATTTCAAAAATCTAGCAACTTTCTTTTTTTCCAAATCTTTTGATAAATTTTCTTTAACATCTTCTACTGACATACCCTCTAGACCAAAACTAAAATATTCTACCTTAGACTTCTCCATATTCGATATAGGAAATAAATACTCTGCTACTTTTTAAAAATTAGCACCTACCAATCTTCTTTATATATTAGCTACAGATACTGAAAAACAATTCACTAAAGACAATAATGTAGAAACCAATGACCGAAGAAAAAGATTCTATTTTTACAGCTTCTACAAGGCTTACTTGCATGTAGCTGCAAAAAATGATGGAATTTCTGGTCTTAGCTCCTTCCAAACCATACAAAAAATTATAGCTAAACCTATGAATACTCATTTTTTAGCCAGAATCTTAACATTTTATTATATTAAGGACAAAAAAAAATTACAATCTCCTATATTCGTAAAGAATATAACTCCAAATTCTATCCACAAGCAGAAAAAATATTACTAGAAAAATTTAAAGCTCATTTTACTCTCATGAAAAATCTGGATGATTTATATCTTTTCAAAGCTCCTGATAGCAACCAAACATCTAATCCTAATGATAATAAGTTAGCAGATGATAGTTCAACTATCACCACTAACAAACCTTCTAATACTTCTAACAAATCTTATGCCAAAACTCTTCTATCTAATTTACCACAATCACATTTCTACAACCCTTTTTAATTTATGTTTCTTCTACAAAACTCATTGATGCAGCCACTACTTCATTAATTGATATAACTGTTGTATTTAATAAAGGAAATGATGTAAGTAGACAGGCAGTAAAGCCTATTTACACAGAGGACCATTTATATGTCGGTCAGACCCAACATACAGGGCAGACTATGGTATTCTGCACAGCTGTGAGAACTGAGCTTGAAACAGCGAGCGACTCTGTAGAAAAAACATTATTGAAGTTATATCCAACATCTTTAGAATCCTATAATTTCAACTCCTGCTATAACATTTTTCTTTCCTTTTATAACTTTCCACTCCTACCTTACAATCAAATACTTAAAACATTTTTAGCCTATCTAAAAAATCAAAAATTCAATAATAACATTACTCTCTCAGTCAATCAGTTCTCTAACAAAATGTATGTATATTTACCTCACAACCAACTTCTGCTTCTAAATCACACTTTAATTGAACAATTTCTAATAATCAAATATTTAGATCTGCTTATTAAAACAAAAAAACATCCCAATATAATGCACTTAATTCTATAGAGATTTTAGAAAACACTTTATACTCAACATCTACACTATCGTCAACAGTTTCTGAACCAAATCTAGATAAATCTGAACACTTTTCTAAAGAACTACTTTCATTTTTACAAGATTCTAACTACAATACTCCAAGTTCACCTATATTAGCCTTCACATCTGCAAACAACAATCTCACTAACAGTCCCTCTTATCAACACTCTAACCAGATTAAAGATCTACATCTCAATATTGCTACTCATAATGTTTGAGGTTTCAATTTAGCTACCAAAAGAGAGACATGGCAAAACTACAATCTCCATAACAACATCACTATTGTCACAGATTAATTCGGTACCCTGGGATTTCGTGGCGCCAGGTTCGATTAGGATCAGGATCTACATGGATGGCATGATTCGAATTTCGCATAATGCATGAATTAATTAAAAGTCTAATCTAGTGATAGTCTAATGTATGTAACCCGGATAAACATATATCTGGAGATAATCTTGTATTTAAGTTTAGCGATCTCTAATAATAAAGATAAGTTTTTCGCTTTGGAAATATATTCTAATAAAAGATACTGTGTGGTCATCGTAGTTGTTAAGGTGATGAAGTAAAAGGGTGATAGTGCCTAGCATGTTACTCCTAGTCTGTTGAAAAGCCAAGCGAACGTAGTTCGAATTGAGTAACGAAGAAGACCCCGTATAACCGTAAACGCACTTGACACAAGGACCTGGGCAGTAGAACAGCCCTACTCGCCCGAAATTGTTGTATTTGAACTTCGTGGAAGCCCAAGAGGGTTGTACTTGCTAAACTTGGCCGTGATTAGTGAATTAGAGTTGCCCGGTTGATATTGCAAAGTTAGAAGCCATGATCAGACATTGTGCCGAGGCATATTGTTAATAAAGAGTGCCATGAGCAAATAAAGACAATTGAAATACGAAAGGACGTTGTTAGTGGATAGGTAAAAAAAAAAACGAACATTACCGGAGTGGTGAATTCGAAAAGGATGGAGGGTGAAAATCATTTGTTGTTGTTAGTTGAAAGCATGATTGGGTTAGTAGTTGAAGTAGTAAAGACTTTGAAGAAACGAAGGATAAAAAAGAAACAATACAGACCACGACTATGCTATGAATGTCGAAGGCCAGGACACCTAGCTAAAACTTGCCCGAATCGAAAGAGCCAAGGTTCAAGAAGTTGTAACGTAAAGGACAATGGTTATAGTGACATGTTGGTTGACGTACGGTATATGGAGTTAGTAGGGAAAGTGGCGAATGACGTTGAAGTGAATAATCAAGACTCATGGAGACATAAACGTTCAAGATATAATAATGAATCAACATACCTGGTAAAGAAGAGACTGAATAACCCTGTTAATCATCATCTTGAAAGGAGACGAGTGGAAAAAAATAATTATAAGGGATTCATTTATTGTCAAAGATCCGCAGATGTGGGACATGGTGGTGAAACATTCAATGTTGGGCATTATAATCAAAGAAGTATTAGGAGTGATGTGAATGTTAGAAGGGATAAATTAAGATTGAAGAGAAGGAAGGACGTTAGTGGAAGTGGTCAAAGTAACGCGAAAATGAAAGAACAAGTGAAAATCGGATACAAACCTAGAGATTTTAATGAAAGAGAAGAATTCTGACACTATCAAGGATTAGCAGAGACAAACCATGCTAATACCACATGCAATGATAGATCTTGTTATGAAAGAGAGAATGGAGTTAAAAAGGACGAAAATGAGGCAGTTGAAAAGGATGAGAATAAAGCACTCAACTATTATCAAAGATCTGCAGATATAGGACACAGTGATCCAAAAGCACAAAACAATCTTGAATTGTGTTATCAACATGGAATTGGAGTCAATAAGGACGAACAGAAAGCATTCGTTTACCACCAAAAATCTGCCAATATAGGTAATGCTGATAAGATGAATGAGGTTGGGTATCGTTACCAAGATCAACCATTGGACGTGGTAATGAAAATGGATGCTATGATGAAAGATTTTCTGGAATCATTGACGGAAACCAAGGTTGACAGTAACAATGTAAACAATGAAAATAATGAAATTAAGGAGTACGAAATAGGTGGTGATGAAAAGCAAGAGGATGTGATAAGGAAATTGATTGTTAATAAAAGAAGAAACGAAGAGACGTGTGAAGTAAAAAATGAGAATATTGAAAACATACTCATGAAAGGTAATGAAACAGCCCAGAAGGTCAAACCTAATCTAGTATCTGGTGGTGAAGACGTTGAAAAGGATAAATTCAAAGCATTCACCTGTTATCAGGAATCTGCTTACACGAATGATGCTGATGATGCAACTATTGTCGAACATTGTTATGAAAAGGGGATTGGTGTTGAGAAGAATGAACATAAGACATTCATTCATTATCAGAAATCCGATGTGATGGTTCTCGCTAGTGGAACATATGATTTTGGACGTTGTTGTCGAAAAGAAATCGAAGCTGAAAAAGTTACTAACGAAACTAAGCCATCCGACTATCATCAAAAGTCTGCTAATATGGGAAATACCGATGGAATACATGGTGTTGAACATTGTGATAACGATGGAATTGAGGTTGTAAAAGATGGAATAGGAGTAGAAATTGATGAATACAAAGCACTCATGTATTATCAAAAGCTGGCCGATGTGAATAAAACATGGGGATCTGGCTCAGATAATGGAACTAAGGTTGGTCCTGTATATGAGCAAAGCCCAGAAATGAGAAATAGAATGTTGGTGAAGAGTTATACGAAGAATCACGTGGGCTTACTTAAGTCAAGACAATGGACCAAAGTGTGTAGCCATGGATCCAATGGTGGAAATGTGAGGCCCAGAACGTCGAATGTCTGGAGGGTATCTAGTAATATCAAAGGTATAGTCTCAAAAGCAAGACAATCCATGTTAGGTAGTGTCAGGAAGGTCGAATTCTTTAAACGCCTGTATTTGGAACAGTTGGCTGGATGTGATCATGAACATTTGGAGAGTGCGATTTTTGGAAGTCGTTTTGAAATGAGAAAAATCGGGAGGTTGGATGTTAGGGTGCTATGAAAAAAAAAAAAAAAAAAAAAAAAAAAAAATTTTTTTTTTGTTAGTGTATGTACTAATTGTACTAATTGAAAGGTGTATTGCATTAGTAGTATATAGGTTGTTAATAATGTTGGGTATTGCAAATAGACAATTTGTGTTAGTTTGGAATTTTACAAGGGTAGAAACTTCAGGGACGAAGTTCTGGGAGATCTAGCTCGTATCACAGGTTAATTCGGTACCCCGAGATTTCGTGGTGCTGGGTTCGATTAGGATCGGGATCTACATGGATAGCGTGATTCGAATTTCGCATAATGTATGAATTAATTAAAAGTCTAATCTAGTGATAGTCTAATGCATGTAACCCGAATAAACATATATCTGGAGATAATCTTGTATTTAAGTTTAGCGATCTCTAATAATAAAGATAAGTTTTTCGCTTTGAAAATATATTCTAATAAAAGATACTGTGTGGTCGTCGTAGTCGTTAAGGTGACGAAGTGAAAGGGTGGTAGTACCTGGCACGTTACCCCTAGTCTGTTGAAAAGCCAAGCGAATGTAGTTCGAATTGAGTAACAAAGAAGACCCCGTATAACTGTAAATGCACTTGACACTATCACAAGCATAACCGAAACAAAAATTTCTAACAAACCTAACCTATTCTTTTGTAATAATAACTAATTTACATACTACTGGGCCAATTCGGAGACCTCAGCTAAAGGAACAGCTCTCATGATTCGCAACCACCTCAAACTACATGTACACAGCTGCTTAACACATCCTAGTAGTGCAATTGCACTTGACCTTTTCTTTAAAAGTCAAATTAAACTCTGTATTATATTAGTTTACCTTTCTTCTACTGATTTATACAAAAAGAATATTATACAAGATATAGTCATTGACTGGATCAAACAAGTATTTCAACAAAACCTTCATCCAATTATTCTCGGAGATTTTAATACACAAGACTACACATACAGCTCTTTCTTAAAATACAAGCTTATCAACTTTCTAAATTACTTCAACATGTATGATATTGGTATCCACTTCAACAACACCCATTTCACTTGGTCCAACAATAAAAGTAGTAGCAATATTGATTATATTTGGACAGACCAATTCAATATACAGTTCTTGCTATCTTACAACTTGGATGATAGCAAGTCAAGCACTACTAGTGATTACCTCATTCTCTCAACAACCTGGACCTTCCCTAATGTATATAGCAAACCATCACAACAACATACTGGAATTAGCTGTAGAATCTTTAACTACAAACTAATGTCATCAGAAAAATAAACTGAATTCTCAGATCTCTTATCATCCAAGCTTCAATCACACACACACCTCTTACTACTAAAACCTCAAAAAGTCTTGAAACAACCTGGCATAAGATTGAACATTCTGTTATTTATGCTGCAATACAATCAATCTCTAACAAAATTAGCTACAAATGCAGCTTTAATCACAAATACACACCTCACAATACTTTGCTTTATCTATCTCTCAAAAAACTTGACACCTGATCAAAATAGTTAAAAATATCAGCACCAACAACACCATTAATATCCCTTATATAAATAATCAAATCAATACTTTTAATCACAAATCTTCTTTTTATCAGACTTATCCCACCTTAACCAATGGATTAAATATGCCCAAGATATCTGGAAACAACTTTACAATGCACGTTAAATAGAGAACTCCTTGTTATTGTGGCAACAAATTTAAGAAGCATCAGAAAAAAGATGCAATACTCTTGTAGCTCAGCCTACACAAGCTATTAACAGCATCTTGAATCGATATCACTCATCTATTTAATTTTCAAATATTAAACTGCCAAATGAACTTATTACTAAACCCCACCTTATTAAACAACATATTCAAGCACACTTTGAAAATTGGACTGCACACAAACCTATTAATCATTCTTTATTCTCAAACTTCTAGCAACAACATTATACACCACATTCATATATCAACTCTGACTGGTATAACAGTCTAACTGCAATAATTACAGAGGATGAAGTGCTTTGCACTATTGCAAAACTTCCTAATGGCAAAGCTTATAGCCTTACTGGCATAAGCTACGAAATGCTCAAGCATTTAGACTTCACTTGTATTCAAGCCCTAACTGCTCTCTTTAATCATTACCTCACTACAGACAACATACCAAAACAATGGAAATATAGAAGAATTTATCCTATTCCCAAATGTAATATCTTCAATGATAACCTCAACCTCACACGACCCATCAGCTTGATTGAACACACACAAAAAATCTATACAAAAATACTTATCAATAGACTTAACAATGTATTTTCATAGCATCCTATTTTATCTTTCTTCAACCATGTCATCTTACCTAATAACAGCACCTCAATTCCTATTTACATTGTTTTGGTATGTTGTCTGTAGTGAGGTAATGATTAAAGAGAGCAGTTAGGGCTTGAATACAAGTGAAGTCTAAATGCTTGAGCATTTCGTAGCTTATGCCAGTAAGGCTATAAGCTTTGCCATTAGGAAGTTTTGCAATAGTGCAAAGCACTTCATCCTCTGTAATTATTGCAGTTAGACTGTTATACCAGTCAGAGTTGATATATGAATGTGGTGTATAATGTTGTTGCTAGAAGTTTGAGAATAAAGAATGATTAATAGGTTTGTGTGCAGTCCAATTTTCAAAGTGTGCTTGAATATGTTGTTTAATAAGGTGGGGTTTAGTAATAAGTTCATTTGGCAGTTTAATATTTGAAAATTAAATAGATGAGTGATATCGATTCAAGATGCTGTTAATAGCTTGTGTAGGCTGAGCTACAAGAGTATTGCATCTTTTTTCTGATGCTTCTTAAATTTGTTGCCACAATAACAAGGAGTTCTCTATTTAACGTGCATTGTAAAGTTGTTTCCAGATATCTTGGGCATATTTAATCCATTGGTTAAGGTGGGATAAGTCTGATAAAAAGAAGATTTGTGATTAAAAGTATTGATTTGATTATTTATATAAGGGATATTAATGGTGTTGTTGGTGCTGATATTTTTAACTATTTTGATCAGGTGTCAAGTTTTTTGAGAGATAGATAAAGCAAAGTATTGTGAGGTGTGTATTTGTGATTAAAGCTGCATTTGTAGCTAATTTTGTTAGAGATTGATTGTATTGCAGCATAAATAACAGAATGTTCAATCTTATGCCAGGTTGTTTCAAGACTTTTTGAGGTTTTAGTAGTAAGAGGTGTGTGTGTGATTGAAGCTTGGATGATAAGAGATCTGAGAATTCAGTTTATTTTTCTGATGACATTAGTTTGTAGTTAAAGATTCTACAGCTAATTCCAGTATGTTGTTGTGATGGTTTGCTATATACATTAGGGAAGGTCCAGGTTGTTGAGAGAATGAGGTAATCACTAGTAGTGCTTGACTTGCTATCATCCAAGTTGTAAGATAGCAAGAACTGTATATTGAATTGGTCTGTCCAAATATAATCAATATTGCTACTACTTTTATTGTTGGACCAAGTGAAATGGGTGTTGTTGAAGTGGATACCAATATCATACATGTTGAAGTAATTTAGAAAGTTGATAAGCTTGTATTTTAAGAAAGAGCTGTATGTGTAGTCTTGTGTATTAAAATCTCCGAGAATAATTGGATGAAGGTTTTGTTGAAATACTTGTTTGATCCAGTCAATGACTATATCTTGTATAATATTCTTTTTGTATAAATCAGTAGAAGAAAGGTAAACTAATATAATACAGAGTTTAATTTGACTTTTAAAGAAAAGGTCAAGTGCAATTGCACTACTAGGATGTGTTAAGCAGCTGTGTACATGTAGTTTGAGGTGGTTGCGAATCATGAGAGCTGTTCCTTTAGCTGAGGTCTCCGAATTGGCCCAGTAGTATGTAAATTAGTTATTATTACAAAAGAATAGGTTAGGTTTGTTAGAAATTTTTGTTTCGGTTATGCTTGTGATAGTGTCAAGTGCATTTACAGTTATACGGGGTCTTCTTTGTTACTCAATTCGAACTACATTCGCTTGGCTTTTCAACAGACTAGGGGTAACGTGCCAGGTACTACCACCCTTTCACTTCGTCACCTTAACGACTACGACGACCACACAGTATCTTTTATTAGAATATATTTTCAAAGCGAAAAACTTATCTTTATTATTAGAGATCGCTAAACTTAAATACAAGATTATCTCCAGATATATGTTTATTCGGGTTACATGCATTAGACTATCACTAGATTAGACTTTTAATTAATTCATACATTATGCGAAATTCGAATCACGCTATCCATGTAGATCCCGATCCTAATCGAACCCAGCACCACGAAATCTCGGGGTACCGAATTAACCTGTGATACGAGCTAGATCTCCCAGAACTTCGTCCCTGAAGTTTCTACCCTTGTAAAATTCCAAACTAACACAAATTGTCTATTTGCAATACCCAACATTATTAACAACCTATATACTACTAATGCAATACACCTTTCAATTAGTACAATTAGTACATACACTAACAAAAAAAAAATTTTTTTTTTTTTTTTTTTTTTTTTTTTTTCATAGCACCCTAACATCCAACCTCCCGATTTTTCTCATTTCAAAACGACTTCCAAAAATCGCACTCTCCAAATGTTCATGATCACATCCAGCCAACTGTTCCAAATACAGGCGTTTAAAGAATTCGACCTTCCTGACACTACCTAACATGGATTGTCTTGCTTTTGAGACTATACCTTTGATATTACTAGATACCCTCCAGACATTCGACGTTCTGGGCCTCACATTTCCACCATTGGATCCATGGCTACACACTTTGGTCCATTGTCTTGACTTAAGTAAGCCCACGTGATTCTTCGTATAACTCTTCACCAACATTCTATTTCTCATTTCTGGGCTTTGCTCATATACAGGACCAACCTTAGTTCCATTATCTGAGCCAGATCCCCATGTTTTATTCACATCGGCCAGCTTTTGATAATACATGAGTGCTTTGTATTCATCAATTTCTACTCCTATTCCATCTTTTACAACCTCAATTCCATCGTTATCACAATGTTCAACACCATGTATTCCATCGGTATTTCCCATATTAGCAGACTTTTGATGATAGTCGGATGGCTTAGTTTCGTTAGTAACTTTTTCAGCTTCGATTTCTTTTCGACAACAACGTCCAAAATCATATGTTCCACTAGCGAGAACCATCACATCGGATTTCTGATAATGAATGAATGTCTTATGTTCATTCTTCTCAACACCAATCCCCTTTTCATAACAATGTTCGACAATAGTTGCATCATCAGCATCATTCGTGTAAGCAGATTCCTGATAACAGGTGAATGCTTTGAATTTATCCTTTTCAACGTCTTCACCACCAGATACTAGATTAGGTTTGACCTTCTGGGCTGTTTCATTACCTTTCATGAGTATGTTTTCAATATTCTCATTTTTTACTTCACACGTCTCTTCGTTTCTTCTTTTATTAACAATCAATTTCCTTATCACATCCTCTTGCTTTTCATCACCACCTATTTCGTACTCCTTAATTTCATTATTTTCATTGTTTACATTGTTACTGTCAACCTTGGTTTCCGTCAATGATTCCAGAAAATCTTTCATCATAGCATCCATTTTCATTACCACGTCCAATGGTTGATCTTGGTAACGATACCCAACCTCATTCATCTTATCAGCATTACCTATATTGGCAGATTTTTGGTGGTAAACGAATGCTTTCTGTTCGTCCTTATTGACTCCAATTCCATGTTGATAACACAATTCAAGATTGTTTTGTGCTTTTGGATCACTGTGTCCTATATCTGCAGATCTTTGATAATAGTTGAGTGCTTTATTCTCATCCTTTTCAACTGCCTCATTTTCGTCCTTTTTAACTCCATTCTCTCTTTCATAACAAGATCTATCATTGCATGTGGTATTAGCATGGTTTGTCTCTGCTAATCCTTGATAGTGTCAGAATTCTTCTCTTTCATTAAAATCTCTAGGTTTGTATCCGATTTTCACTTGTTCTTTCATTTTCGCGTTACTTTGACCACTTCCACTAACGTCCTTCCTTCTCTTCAATCTTAATTTATCCCTTCTAACATTCACATCACTCCTAATACTTCTTTGATTATAATGCCCAACATTGAATGTTTCACCACCATGTCCCACATCTGCGGATCTTTGACAATAAATGAATCCCTTATAATTATTTTTTTCCACTCGTCTCCTTTCAAGATGATGATTAACAGGGTTATTCAGTCTCTTCTTTACCAGGTATGTTGATTCATTATTATATCTTGAACGTTTATGTCTCCATGAGTCTTGATTATTCACTTCAACGTCATTCGCCACTTTCCCTACTAACTCCATATACCGTACGTCAACCAACATGTCACTATAACCATTGTCCTTTACGTTACAACTTCTTGAACCTTGGCTCTTTCGATTCGGGCAAGTTTTAGCTAGGTGTCCTGGCCTTCGACATTCATAGCATAGTCGTGGTCTGTATTGTTTCTTTTTTATCCTTCGTTTCTTCAAAGTCTTTACTACTTCAACTACTAACCCAATCATGCTTTCAACTAACAACAACAAATGATTTTCACCCTCCATCCTTTTCGAATTCACCACTCCGGTAATGTTCGTTTTTTTTTTTACCTATCCACTAACAACGTCCTTTCGTATTTCAATTGTCTTTATTTGCTCATGGCACTCTTTATTAACAATATGCCTCGGCACAATGTCTGATCATGGCTTCTAACTTTGCAATATCAACCGGGCAACTCTAATTCACTAATCACGGCCAAGTTTAGCAAGTACAACCCTCTTGGGCTTCCACGAAGTTCAAATACAACAATTTCGGGCGAGTAGGGCTGTTCTACTGCCCAGGTCCTTGTGTCAAGTGCGTTTACGGTTATACGGGGTCTTCTTCGTTACTCAATTCGAACTACGTTCGCTTGGCTTTTCAACAGACTAGGAGTAACATGCTAGGCACTATCACCCTTTTACTTCATCACCTTAACAACTACGATGACCACACAGTATCTTTTATTAGAATATATTTCCAAAGCGAAAAACTTATCTTTATTATTAGAGATCGCTAAACTTAAATACAAGATTATCTCCAGATATATGTTTATCCGGGTTACATACATTAGACTATCACTAGATTAGACTTTTAATTAATTCATGCATTATGCGAAATTCGAATCATGCCATCCATGTAGATCCTGATCCTAATCGAACCTGGCGCCACGAAATCCCAGGGTACCGAATTAATCTGTGACAATAGTGATGTTGTTATGGAGATTGTAGTTTTGCCATGTCTCTCTTTTGGTAGCTAAATTGAAACCTCAAACATTATGAGTAGCAATATTGAGATGTAGATCTTTAATCTGGTTAGAGTGTTGATAAGAGGGACTGTTAGTGAGATTGTTGTTTGCAGATGTGAAGGCTAATATAGGTGAACTTGGAGTATTGTAGTTAGAATCTTGTAAAAATGAAAGTAGTTCTTTAGAAAAGTGTTCAGATTTATCTAGATTTGGTTCAGAAACTGTTGACGATAGTGTAGATGTTGAGTATAAAGTGTTTTCTAAAATCTCTATAGAATTAAGTGCATTATATTGGGATGTTTTTTTGTTTTAATAAGCAGATCTAAATATTTGATTATTAGAAATTGTTCAATTAAAGTGTGATTTAGAAGCAGAAGTTGGTTGTGAGGTAAATATACATACATTTTGTTAGAGAACTGATTGACTGAGAGAGTAATGTTATTATTGAATTTTTGATTTTTTAGATAGGCTAAAAATGTTTTAAGTATTTGATTGTAAGGTAGGAGTGGAAAGTTATAAAAGGAAAGAAAAATGTTATAGCAGGAGTTGAAATTATAGGATTCTAAAGATGTTGGATATAACTTCAATAATGTTTTTTCTACAGAGTCGCTCGCTGTTTCAAGCTCAGTTCTCACAGCTGTGCAGAATACCATAGTCTGCCCTGTATGTTGGGTCTGACCGACATATAAATGGTCCTCTGTGTAAATAGGCTTTACTGCCTGTCTACTTACATCATTTCCTTTATTAAATACAACAGTTATATCAATTAATGAAGTAGTGGCTGCATCAATGAGTTTTGTAGAAGAAACATAAATTAAAAAGGGTTGTAGAAATGTGATTGTGGTAAATTAGATAGAAGAGTTTTGGCATAAGATTTGTTAGAAGTATTAGAAGGTTTGTTAGTGGTGATAGTTGAACTATCATCTGCTAACTTATTATCATTAGGATTAGATGTTTGGTTGCTATCAGGAGCTTTGAAAAGATATAAATCATCCAGATTTTTCATGAGAGTAAAATGAGCTTTAAATTTTTCTAGTAATATTTTTTCTGCTTGTGGATAGAATTTGGAGTTATATTCTTTACGAATATAGGAGATTGTAATTTTTTTTTGTCCTTAATATAATAAAATGTTAAGATTCTGGCTAAAAAATGAGTATTCATAGGTTTAGCTATAATTTTTTGTATGGTTTGGAAGGAGCTAAGACCAGAAATTCCATCATTTTTTGCAGCTACATGCAAGTAAGCCTTGTAGAAGCTGTAAAAATAGAATCTTTTTCTTCGGTCATTGGTTTCTACATTATTGTCTTTAGTGAATTGTTTTTCAGTATCTGTAGCTAATATATAAAGAAGATTGGTAGGTGCTAATTTTTAAAAAGTAGCAGAGTATTTATTTCCTATATCGAATATGGAGAAGTCTAAGGTAGAATATTTTAGTTTTGGTCTAGAGGGTATGTCAGTAGAAGATGTTAAAGAAAATTTATCAAAAGATTTGGAAAAAAAGAAAGTTGCTAGATTTTTGAAATTATGTTCTGTATTGTCTGGTAGGGTTTGGCATGGGTTATTATCACTATGAGTACATGTGTATATATGATAGAGTGCTGCTTTAGTGCAAAGCATAGTGCGCTCTTTGTATGAGGAAATTGAGGTAATAGCAAAGGTTTTTGAAAGAAAACTTTTGCATATTTCTGAAAGTTTAGTAGCAATTTGATGTCTTAGAAAATTATAGATTTTTTTTTCATCTATTTTTAAAATTGTCATTGATAGATTTTAAAGAAGTGTTCAAACCAAGTATCGAAGTTAGTTTTGTAAGGTTTAAGAGAAGGGATACAGAAGTCATTAAGAAATTGTATTTTAGGTATATTAATAGAAATATTGATATTGAACTTGTTATCATTTTGAATTTTAAAGAGAGGTTGGTTTTTAATATTAATAGATGTGAAGTAATAAAGATTAAAACAAATAGGATGTATGTTTAAATCTTGAATAAATTTAGTTCTGTTGATAGTTTTATATTTTTCGTTAAGAAATAAGTAGAGTCGAGTGAAGTTAAGTACTATATTATAGCGGTTAGAGATAGAGTAAGGAGAAATAGAGTTGTATAAAGCAAATATTTTCGCATAGTTAAGTTTAGTAAAAAGAATGTAAGTGAATTTGGATAAAATATTTTTAAGAGAGATGTATACTATTTCATAAGGAATAGTAATTTCTTTGTCAATTGTTGAGTGTTGTTGATAAATTAATTCAGTAAGAAATTGAGGACATTGTCCTGCCATTTGTTTAAGCAAATAGTCAAAACTATATTTGATATTTGGTTTGTTAACTTTTTTATTAATTTGTTTAGGAGCGAAGTCAACAAGAAATGGTTTGACAAAGTTAAAGATTTGTTGAGAGAGTTGTATATTAAATTTAGAGAAAGATTCTATAGTAGAAGTAATAAGATAAGTTTTGAACCAGTCAAGGTTATTAGATGTATCGCACTTGAAGTGTTTAGTATTTTGTTTTTCTTTTAAAAGTTGTAAAAAGTTTTTAAAAACTTGGCTTTTTTCTGATTTTGTTATAAGGGCAAATTTGATTGTATAAAAAGCACTATATGCTTTAGATGAGAGTGGGTGGGTTTGTGAGATTGGTTGAAGTTTGAGCTTATGAATACATGCAACATGTGCTGGGTATCCTCTTAAGACAATAGTGGCTTTGCTAAGTAGAGTATGTTTGTTGTCTTGTAAAAAAGCACAAGGAATATTTTTAAGTTTACAGATAATGCATGTATATGCATAGTGAGAGTAAGCTTGTATTTGGAGAGATTGTGATAAACTAGCAGATGGTGTAATAACAGAGTAGTTGAGTGGAAATGGAAGAGTAGGGACAGATTTAACAAGGAATTGTGAAATGTTATCTTTAAGTTGCTTAACTTGTCTAGAAGTTAAGTCAATATCTATTGATTGAGATTGTTGAGAGGGTGGAGGTGTAGATTGTTTAGGTGGGATATTGAGGTAGCTTGAGGTAAAGAAGGTGTGGTATTTTTGACAAAAACAGCGAATAATAGCTGGCTTTTCAGGTTTTTGAAAAAAATGTAAGGTTTTTAGAGTACTGCAT